AAGAATAAAACTGAAAATGAAAAAACTGTTTCAGCAGAGTCCTAAGGGCAGAAGGCTGGAGCGCTGGCAGCTGGGGGTTGTGTGTAGCACTTTACTGGGAAGGTGAGAAACCTAGAAAGCTCTAAGAGACAGCAGGATCACACTGTTCCTGGCCAGGGGTTGCTATAATGGACACGATGCTGTGACCTTAACCAAAGTTTCCAAGTGAGGGAGTTGCCTTCAAAACTGAGTTTTAGGAAACTGAGCTTGGACTCATGCAGAAGGCAGTTTTTGCAATAGTGATACTTCTCCTATAGCACAAATAGAAATGAAGTTACACAGACCTGCGGGGAGAGGTGGGCACTCGTTGGTCAATCAGTGTGAGCTTCCCTTTCCTTTTCCCTTTCCTTTTCCCTTTCCTTTTCCCTTTCCTTTTCTCTTTCCTTTTCCCTTTCTCTTTCCCCCCACATATTTCTCTCTGCTCTTTTCTCTTTTTCTTGGTTTTTTTTTTCCATTTTTCCTATCCCTTCCATTTAACTTTCTTTTGGTATGGCTTGGAGGCAAAAAGACTTAAACTATCAGATCATTTACATTGTTCTTTTCCAGACTCACAGCCCTGTTATTACAGTTTCACCACAATATGTTATTAATGTTAATTTAACACGAGTGAAAATTTCTGAGCTGACATGCTCCTCTGATATGTCTTTTATAATACATATACTCTGTAAAACGTGTTGTCTCTTCTAATTCTAAAATATTTGACAACTTAGGGATTTTTTCATAGGGAATATTCTGAAGGATGATATGTAAAATTGAGGCTTAAATCACTTATTATTATAGAACAGACCTCAGTATGCTTTGCTTACAGAAAAAGCTGTTATCTGCAGTTAGATCACTTTCAGAAAACTGCATTGTGCTTCCTTGAACAAGAAGCTCATACAAACCAAGTCAGCTTGTTCAGTGCTGAGTAGGATTCAGAGGAGGATCTCACAATCTTATGAAGCAGGACAGAGAGCCCCATGTCCTTCACGTGCTAAGGTGTGTTTATAGTGGGAATTGTCTCACTCAACTTTACCTGCTTTAAAGTGAAGCATATATTGCAAAAGAGATACTAAAGTTCTGTCAATGTTCAGTGCAGGGAGAAAGTGGTACATTCCATCCTAAACCTGGCATTCAGATGGCTGTAGAGGTTGTAGATAGCTCAGATTAGGTGAGAGTTTCTCAGTACCCAATGTATCACGTCAGTCCTTGGTGTGTTCCCACTGAAATGGAGCTTTGCCTTGTTGAACCTCATGGGGTTCACATGGGCCAACTTCTCAAGCTTAGTCAGGTCCCTCTGAATGGCATCCTGTCCATCAGGAGCGTCACCTACACCACTCAGCTTGGTGTCAGTTGAAAACTTATATAGATATAACTTCCTAGTACAACACTAATTATGGGACCTTGAAATGATGATAATGTAACACTATTAAAAATGAAAAACGATTCATATATATAGCTATAGAGCAGCTTACCTGATCTCACTCACAACAAAGTAATAACTGATGTCAAAGACAGTGAATACAGCATTACAGAATGGGAATTATTATGTATCTCTATTCAAGAATTATAATTTTAGGGGAAAGAGGTCATCTCTGACAAAACCAATTTATTTCTGTGAAGAGTTAGAGTTTGGTTGATATGGTAACTACCTGGATATAATCCTTTTATTCTTATGCATTGTTATTGTATGTTCAATGCCATTTGCATTAAAAAGTGACACTCTACAATGGATGAAGAGCTGACTGATCTCATGTAGCAGGTGTCAGTGGAAAGTCATCATTTCCAGCGCATCTGTAAGAAGGATATATAGCAGTTCTGGTGTTATTAAAAATTTCCATGAACCACATGGACATAAATGCTAAATCTTTGCTAATAAAAGTTGTGGATGAAGCAAAGGATTGACAGAAAGTTACCTAAAATTGATGACAAGGGAGCAATTATAAACAATATATATTTAAAGGAACTGCAAGCTTATATAGAATTGGATGAGAGAGGATGTAGCAAGGACCAGTGCCTGAAAGCTCAGGTCAGTCAGTTGTATCTTCTCTCTTGCAAATTTGTGTTTACAAATTAGAGGAGATGCAGCTGCAGTGCAGATTTTAATACTCTTTCTGCCATTTGCATGGATGCTTATTGCTGCAAGTCCTCCAAGCACTGTGACTATTCACTCAAAGTTTGGCCTGGTAGCAGCAGAAAGAATAGACTTAAACACTCATTGATGTTAAAATGTTCACCTATATGAAGGCTCTCACAGAAAGGCTCCACAGGAGAGGAACAGCTTTTGTCTTGCCTTTCATATAAATGGGGTGTATCAATGAGACCTATTCGCTGGTTGGGACCAATTGATGTGCTGTCAGTCTGGCATGCTGCTCCTTTGGACACAATTATCAGTGCTACTAACATAGATGGTAAAGTACTAACCTCTTTTGTGCCCCTGTGAATTACTCTGTAACTGGGAAATGAGCATTGCAATGATTTTCTTTCCTGTGTGGACTACTTATGCTTGTGTCTTAGATGCAGATTGGAAGGGAGAAGCCAAAAGGAGCACAGGGCATTTTACAAATGGAGGCCAAAGTCAGGCCACAGTTCTTTAAGAGGTAATACAATGATTTAGAGGACAGAGCTGGAAGAAGTGAATAATATTAACATTGGAATTTCTGTTTCTTGTGGCAAGAGAGGTCTGAACCAAGGCCAAGCACATAAGTTTGCTTTATAGTCCTGATTCTAAAACAGGAGCTAAAACCAGGAGGATTTCACTAGCTCATACTTCCCTGCAAGAAAGTCATGGTTCTTTCTAATTGAACTTGGTGGAAGGTGCCTGATGTCATTAGAGATTGAAGTGATAATTTATATATCTATAATTCAGACATTACCTTCTTGTTGCATGAAGAGCTACACTGCTGTGTCTGAGATGTTTTGCTCTTCCCTGAGTATCTCTCAGGAGTCCTGGGAAGCAGAGGTGAATGACATTGTTTTGTGATTTTATTCATGCCTTCCATTTGTTTACTCTTTACTGGGGAAATTTTGCTTGTTTTGATTTCTACTGTTCCTTATTTTACCATGCTGTACTTACTTATTTAGCCATAAATCTAGTTCCAAGACTGGCGCTCAGAAGTGCTGTTTACTGCGCTGACTCAGTGCCTGTAACTAAAAGAGCATTTGTTGTTAGCAAAGCCAACATTTAAAGGATCAATATAACATCTGCACAGGGCTTCTGACACTTCTAAGCAAATATTTTGTCAGTACAGCTTAGTTTGGATGGGAATGGAGGTGGCCTAACTGTGGCTCTTGCAAGACTTAATGGTTAAATAATTTTTCAGCTTTCAGAGTTTACCTTGCAGGGGAGAGCTTCTGTATTGTATTGGGAAGTTGTATAGATCTCTGATGGAGGGGAAAGTACCCCATGGTTTCACGTGTCTAATGTTGAGACATAAAAGAATCAGTCAGTATTGGTCCTGTGTGGTGAATAGAAGAAAAAGTGACTACTCTGAATTTTATCTATGGAAGCAGCAGCCCTAAACATGTCCAAAGAAAATCTGAAATGTCCTGGATAACAATCACTTGCATGAGTAATCAACCTCTGGCCTCACCCGCTGCTGCAGCAAAGGGGCGGCTGAATGTGTTTGTTTCTGATTGCTGCATTGCCTCCTGGGGCTTCTGGCAATGGCTTCGAAAGTCCCCTTTCCTTCCACTGAGCTGAGTGCTTCACCTGCAGCCAATAATTTAAACTGTAAATTCATTGGCACAATAAAGCAGGAAAAACACCTGGTTTCATTGCTAGGCTTAACCAAATACTAATACTGAAAGTCAGGAAGCAGAAGGGATGTAAGTCCTGCTGGTAAGAAAAGTCATTTTTATCTCATGATTTTAGATGTAGCTTCACAAACAAGTCAAGGTAGACCTGCTGTAGAAATTCTTCAGAGAGCCCTGTGAGATTGTGCCCCCCCTCACAGCAGGGGGGTTGGAACTAGATGATCTTAAGCTCCTTGTGAACCCAAACCATTCTATGATTGGTGAGGGCATTGCCTGGGCTTGGGTCACCTTTAATTCCTGGCTCCAGATCCCTTTGGTCCTTGGTGCTCCTTTACAAGCACAACAATTAATGATACTGAAGTAATAACACTAAACACCAGGTGGAGATGATGCCAGGTACCATATGCATCAAGATGAGTACTGCAGCTGCAGAAGAAATGTATATTACCATGTCTTCAACTGGGCAAATGAAGGAGTGGGACTTGGCTGCCCCAATCTGGTCGTTCTTTAACTTAGAGAAAGGACATAAATGTGGGGCTGTGCAGGCAGTGAAAAGACAGGGGTTCATTTTTATATTCTCATTAAACTGATTCCTTGAGCTACCTGTCCCCACTGTTTACAAGTGTGCAATTACCCATTGATCTGGGAAAACAAAGCATAAATACACGTTACTACAAAACTATGGCAGGAAGGAGGTGGATAGGTAGACAATTCTCTGCAGAAAAGCATCTACCTGCAATTGACACTAATTGGGAGCATAAGAGATGGCTGACAAAGACTGGGTATTTTCATTACTCTTTTGAAATCTGTGTGTAGGGGTGAATATTCAAAGTTTTGGTCATATTTAACTCTATTTTCTACTTGAACAAACTCAAGTTGCAGACGCATAAATAATTATGGTCCTGAAGGTGCATTAACAGGTGAATCACACGTAATACAGTAAGACAGAGGAAAGCAGGCTAGGTTCATCTATTCTGTTTGGCTTCTTGGCTTGTCAGCCACCAAAAGTGGCTCAAAACCAGACATAGTGTGTTGTGTCTCTTGCACAGCATGTGGTTAGGGGATATCATAAAGAAAGGGCATTTAGGGCATGCAGAGACTGGGAACAGGTTTAGTGCTCCAGGACCACGTGCAAGTATGGAACAATGCCCAGGAGATTAGTCTTTGTTAGTTCTATAGCTTCCAAAACGATGTGATAATTGTGTACTGGTTCTTTTGCTTTTCAGATGTCCTTTGTCCAAATGTCCATGTGGAAGGAGATCGATTCAAACACACCAGTGGGGGGACTGATGAGATTCCAGGTAAAAAGACACACTTTCCTACTTGAAATAGTATAACTGTGCATTTCTAGAGTGATGTTCTGATTTATTTCAACTTTCCTAGTTGACATTTTCTTATTCCAACACGTATTCAGTGGTGGGAAAGTATATTAGAAACTTCAGGGCTGGAAAAAAGCTAACTCTTGACAGTCAGCAAGTTAAAACAATGATGGAGCTTAATGTAGTAGATAAAGAAATGTGGTAAGTCTTGGAGATTGCTTTCTTTTTTACCACTCTACACTGAGTGAGTTCTAATGTCCATTTATTTGATCTGTGATTGTTGTGGGACATCCAGGCACAATGGTAATTACCACTGAAGAAATGCTTATATATGTGTATAGAAGGCAAAAGAAATAAGATGGAAAAGGTAAAAAGTCCAAAGAAGAGCCAGTGTTTCTGACAAGGAGGTGAAAGATCAAGAGGAAAACCTGGTTTTCCTCTGCTTTTCTGTGAGTTCTGATATATCTTTCCAGCCAGCTGAAGGACTTAATCTGTCAGATACACACATGGCTGTGCCTCTTCTCTAGCCCCCCAGGATTGTTTTAGCTGTTGGCAGAGAAAACCTGCCCATCAAGGATGTACTGGGAATATCCATGGCTGACACAAGAACATAACCCACTGCAATGGGAGGCCAGAGGCCCTCCTGCAACTTGATTATGAGTAGAAATGATCAAGTTTTGACAGCTCTGCCACTCAGAGTTTTTCAGTGGGAGATTTTTCACTGCCTGCACAAAATATCATTTCCAACCATGTGGTCTGTAGGCAGCTTATTTTGGCTGCAGTCTGATCACATCCAAACCTGTGAGAATGCTAGGTGATAACACATTTTCTGGTTATTAGACCCAGATTCATAATCCCAAAACACCCATCTTTAACTGCTCTCTATTGCTAGGTCTTGCATTAACCTGTTCTGACAGTCCTGCGGTCACTGGGTTGTGCAAACATAGTAAAGCTGTTCAGCAAATAGCCCTACTGATTCTGAATGAACCTTTTTGCAGTGGAAACTGCTGCTCAGAATGAGTAGGAGGATTGTGTTCCTTCTCAGATGATCATCTTCTATGTGGGCCTTTCCAGAAGAATGGAATGGCAACTGTCTGCTATGGCTAGTTCATGTTTAGCTGGATTTTAATGCTAACTAATAGACTCTATGCTTTTAACTGGCTTCAAAAATCTATCTTCTGTTGAAGAAACCCACTTCAGTAAAGTTGTGGGCTTATTTTTTCTTTAATCTCCAAATCCCTCTTACCTCCTAGCAAGCAAGTCAATATTCAGCATTTTGACTTTGCTGTCTTAGATTTGCAAACTAATTCAGATTGGAAGGGTCCTATGGAAATCATCTGGGCCAACCTCCCACTCAGAGCAGAGTTTACTTGGACGTTAGGTCACCTTTGAAGTTAGAACAGGTTGTTCAGTGCCTCATATAGTTGAGTTTTGAGTATCTCCAAAGATGGACATTCCACAGGTCCTCTGGGCAACTGTTCCAGTTTCATCACTATCCCACTGAATAGATATTTTTTCCCTAATATCTAAACAGAATTTCCTGTATTGCAGCATGTCTGTTGCCCTGGTTAGACTGATAGCATAAGAATGTCATTTATTTGACCTAGGGGACCTCTGTTCACTGTGAAGTATAAACATACAATGTCTTAATAACAGGATTGTTACAGTATTTGATTAAAGTGATATCTCTGGTCCCTCTACACCAATACAAGAGGATTTGTGGAAGGCGTCTGATTACTCCTATATGGTGAAACAACAAGAATTTGTTTTGCTTCCTCTTCCTGGTGACTTGGAAGATGTAAGCCTTTCCTCTGGAGGAAACTAAATTGATATTCTGGGTCTGCTTAGGGTCACTGTGCTGCTGGAGATTGATCAGTACAGGACCAAAATGCTGCTCTACTCCTCATGTACTCCTTACATAGTTTATAGCATTTTCTAAAGACTTTGTGCCCCTGGCTCCAATTACAACAGAAATTGTTGCCTTTTCCCAGCTAAAGTCACTGGAAAAGTTCTGTTGGCTCAGTGTGCTGTGTTTCCTCTTCCAAATGGATGTGTTGTGCTGTTTGCTGTTGATGAAAGGCTTTTGTGTTCTGCCCCAAATAGGACCACACTTTACTCTTGAGGAGCAGCCTGCCTTCTGCTTCTTCACACTTGTGAGAGTGGTTCAGCACTGGGATTCCTGTGATAGCACTGAGGGAGACACTGTTCCTCTGCTACCCAGGTCCTCATATGCTCAAGGATTTGAAGTTAACACTTGTGTCTTGTGCTCCGCTTGGAAGCTTCATGACAACCAAAGCTGATCCTTGCTAAGTAGGCTCCTAACTCAGAACTTCACAGCTACATCTTGCACAAACTTCTGTCTAGATGGACGCAAAGTGTAGCCCCATCAAGTGGAAGTTGTGGTAAATCTCATTGTGGGGACAGGGAAGGCTGTATTAAAATACTTCTTAGATTAAATACCTCTTTAGTAGAAAATGTCTACTATAAGGATGCTGAGGCTCTGGCACAGGGTGCTCAGAGAAGCTGTGGCTGCCCCATCCCTGGCAATGTTCAAGGCCAGGTTGGATGTGGCTTGGAGCAACCTGCCCTAGTGGAAGGTGTCCCTGCCAGTGACAGGGGGTTAGAACTGGATGAACTTTAAGGTCTCTTCCAACCCAAACCAGTCTGGGATTCTATTATTCCCTCTCTGAGAGGGACAAGACACCACAATTGAAGGTAAGAGAGACAAAAATCATTATGGAATTTATTTTTCTTATATTTTTATTGGGTGAAATGCACCAGCAGATGGCAAAGCCAATTGTTTCGCACAGAGCATCACCAGTGCCAGCAGGGGTGAGGGTAGGGAGGATGGCTCCATGCATAATCAAATTAATAACTGCATCAGAAAACACATTCTGAGTTGGGGGAGAGCCAACAGACTGAACCAATATTTTCCTTTTAAAAGACAGGTGATTTTGTTTCTTTAGACAAACAGAACTAAGTAAATCTCAACTATCTGGACTTCAGCAAGCATTTCTTGGAGTACTGCATTGAAAGTCACTGCTAAAATGAAAGGAGTAGAGATTAATAAACATTGTAAAGTGGCCAGAATCTGGCCAGCAGGAAGATAATGATGAAAGGGAATGACAAGCCAGAGGGCAGACAGTGGTGGACTTCCTCAGGGTCTAATCTTCTCTGTGAGTTTACTGTGTAGATTGGGATCCTTGAAGGGCGAACTGGTTGGCCTCAAAAACCCAGGAGGTTTTTCCAGCTGGTTTAGGACTATTAATTTAAAAGGCCTGTTTTGATACCTATGGATCATTAACAGGACTTTGTGCTATAAACTCATAGTCTGGAAACTGATGGTGTCTTAGCAGATGTTTGTAAGTCAAACTGTACAGCTGGGGGAAAAGGCAAAGGTCATTATTGCACAAGGTAAAGTAAGTCTTGTAGAGATAGGGAAAACTTCATGAGTGTGGACAGGGCTTTGGTTACAGCTTATCTGGAGAACTGTTCTCAGACCTTAGCACGGGAAAGATGGATTCAGCCTCAAGGAGCTATTACTGTGTTCAGGAGCCAGAGAGACTATTTTCAAAGAGAAGATTAAAAATTGGGTTTGGTTAATCTTGCAGTGTGCAGGTGGAATGGGGAGATACTGCTTTCTGCTAATAGATCAGGGGAATAGCAGGAGGGAGATAGGGGAATCACTCATGCTACAGGACAAAGAATATAAGAAATGGGTATCAACTATTTAAGATACATTCAAGACATTAAAAGAAGGTTTCAAACTGTCAGAGACATGAAGTACTGGAACAAACAGTGAAGTAGTAGTAATGGAGACAAATATACAACGATGGATAGTCATGAGTCCTCTCAGAGCATTGTATTCTACGACCCTCTGGTATCACAGCATTCAAATAAGAAATCATGAGCTGTAGTATTCAGTAAGGAGTGCTACAGTGAAATAGGATTGCATGAGGTAAGAATATATAGGCAGCTTTACTACTGATACAAATTTTGGCAGTGAAGTGAAGCGGCATCTGCTTAACACTTCATAGCACATCAATTCAGAATATAAATATTGCTGCATGCGTTAGAAATTACACGGGGAATTTTGAAAGAAAGCAAGAAATCGGGTTAGAATTCCAGGATAAACGCTCCTTCTTTTCCAGGAAGTCTGATATTTTGAAGCAATGCTTAATGGTGCTTTGAACAAAGTTCTTACAGCATCCTAGTGGGCACCATGATGGGTTTTTTATCAAGTAGAGAAATGAAGGTAAAAGAGGGTTTAACTCATCTGCCCTGAATTGAAAACCCAACGGTAATACTGAATACCTCTTATATTGCTGAATTGTCATTTTGGTTCCATCAGCATTTAACAAAGGACCATGGCCTACTATTAATCATGACCAGGCAGGAAAACACAATGATAATATTTTGCACTCTGAACATGTGCCCCTTGTGTATTTTTATGACCTGTCATATTGCATCACAACAACACATGAAAGTCATTGAAAATGAATTGCACATCCTGATGCTATAACACTTTACATTTAAATTACTCGTATTTTAAACTAGATCTGCAGGACATGGGGTTTGGTTGTAGAAATCTGAATGGCCCCTAGAATTGAGAATGGGTTGATCTCGAGTCCTCAACATTATTCACAAGAGGAGATAATACTCCTTAGCAGATTCTAAGTGCTATTTTCAGAGGGAATCTGCCAAAGAAATAAAGACCTGATATGATTTCCATAAAGTGCTGAGAAAAATTAACTCTGAGAGGTGTGATTCCAACCACTACATGACATTATACATCCCACACTAGATGGTGTTAGTGGGGCAAGGAGGGAATGTAGAATCCCTGACTCTGAAATCCTGAGCAGTTCACAGACTGTATCTGTGAAGAACAGCAGAAATTGTATTATGGGGTTTACCACTGCTGGACCTCAACCTCTGCCTCTCTTCCCCATCTCAGAAACCTCCCTGCATGAATGAGCAAAATG